CACTCTGTGGTGCCAGAGGCGTTGGTTCTTGAGAGCAAAAAGGCCGTCGAGGTGGTCAATTTGTCTTGCACGGCAACGTGTCTTCCCTTTTCTTCTGTCCTTAAAGATTCTCCACCCACGACTGGCTTTTCCTCCAAGCCGGCCACGTCTCCCATCACCCACCAACCAGTGGGCTCCTTTGGAGTCATCTCCTGTGAGTCCAGAGGAACAGATGAAGAAACCAATGAAAGAATGCTTAGGTAAGAATGATTTGGGCGGGGTGGCCATATCGGTCTGAAGTCGGAGAACAAAGTTTGAATCCAGTGGCACTTTTAAGACCAACACCGTTTTATTCTGGGCATAAGCTTTTGTATGCCTGCACATTTCTTCAGATACAATTTCTATTTCATTGTATCCAAAAGAAGTACCTATGCATGCACACAAAATGTCATACCTTGAATAAAAATTTGTTGGTCTTAAAAGTGCCACTGGACCAGGGTTCTTTCTAAACTGAGTTAGTGTGAGCTGGCTCAGTATTTTAGCCTCCGGCTCACACATTTTTGTCTTCGCTCAGGAAGGATGGCTCCAGAGCAAACTGATTTATGCAGCAGCCAAATAGCTCACTCCCAACTTTAATGCCAGTAGCTCACAAAGTAGATTTTTTGCTCACAAGACTCCACAGCTTAGAGGGAGCATTGCACTGGGCTCAAATTTAGGAAAAGATGCTTAAAATGTTTAAGGGTCCCCCCCCCACCTTAAAGTTAGTTAGAGAATCCATAAGAGAAGCCAATGTTGGATCAGGCCAATGGCCCATCCAGTCCAACACTCTGTCGCACAGTGGCCAAAAACAACAGGTGCCATCAGGAAGTCCACCGGTGGGGCCAGGACACTAGGAGCCCTCCCACTGTTGCCCCCCCCCAAACACCAAGAATACAGAGCATCCCTTGCCCCATACTGAGAGTTCCTCTCTATACCTTGTGGCTAATAGCCACTGATGGACCCCTGCTCCATATGTTTATCCAATTCCCTCTTGAAGCCATCCATGCTTGTAGCTGCCACCACCTCCTGTGGCAGTGAGTTCTGTGTGTTAATCACTCTTTGTCCAAGAGACAAAGCAAATGAATAGTGAAAGTTACATGTTGGAGCTGCCAGTATATTTTAAAAAAATGAATGTTTAGGAAAGCAGGGGCCACAGGGTCTATCACAGGGTGGGATTGGGGGGGGGGAGAGCCATTTGGCCTGGTCCCCACATTCACAGAGGGCCTGAAATTTATCCTTTCCATGTTCTTGCCAAATGAGGCTGTATGTGCAGTTGCAGAGATACACTGACAGGATTGAAGGAAGACCGTGTTCATCATATAAGTTTAAACTTGCGTCCCATTACTGGGCCACATCACCTGTATTGGACACTACGAATCAATATCCTCCTCTGTTGTTGAGGCTGGGAGCCATGCAGTGTTCTTGTGGCAGCAGGAACCACGATGGGTCCCGTGAAGCTCCCCCCAACTACCTCCACCAAGGCCTCAAAAAACGTAAGTGGGCCAGGCCTCTCTCAACCTCTGCGAGGCCGCAGGAGGTGGCAAACTCAGATAGGACAAACAAATATAAAGCCAATTGTCGTGATAGTCTGACCCACAATCAACAGTCATAGGACTTATAAGAATTGCTGTACATGTATTGTGCTCTGAAGCATTACAATATGATATACAACATAATAGAATTTATAAACCAAGGTACAACGTCGTCTCCGGATTATTTACCAATGTTTCAAAAATGAATCTTCTTCAGGAGATATTCTGTAGTACACAAAAATGCAATTTTTAGAATATGTATTACACCAATCACAAGAAACAAGAGACAATACAATAATCTTATTGCTTACTTACATAGAGGTGCCAAAGCTCTCATTTTCATAAAAGTTAGACAACAAGTCTTAAGCATCTGCACCATAATAATTTTATCTGTTGATTGTGAGTCAGACTGTTGGCTTTATATTTGTTTATCTGTTTTAGTCGTGTGTGTCCAGATTTTTTTGAAACTCAGATAGGGACCATGGTACATGTGGAGAGAGGTTGTAAGTCTTCTCCTGCGTGCCATTGTCCCGACCTTTGGGGTACTTCTATTTCCCTTTCGGATTAAACTCGTGGGCACACATCTAGGGTTGCCAGTTCCCTCCCGGTGACTGGTGGGGATGCGAGGACTTCCTGGCAGCGGGGGAGGCCGAGGCGAGTATTGCAGCTGGGTTGCCGGCAATGTGATGACGTCATTTCCGGAATGCGCTGGAAGTGATCTCATTGGACAGCTGGAGAAGTGGGAGGGTCTGGTATTTGTGCAAAATCTGTGCGGTAGACACCTTTATAACAAAGAGATTTTGCTCAAATACCAGAGCGTCGGCATTGCTGGAGGTGTGATGACACCACTTCTGGGGTGTGCTAGAAGTTACACCACTGGTGATGTTGCAGCAACACTGGCCTACGCATCTGTCCCCCCCACTGTCAATAAGTTCCCTTAGTGGTCAGCTGAGTGGGAGTATGATCAGTGGCTGGGTGCCTGGCGCCCCTGCATAATATTAACCAATAGTTACCCCCAATAGGGCAAATAGCTGGAGAGAGGATAGTCAAACATGTCCCTCCCTCCCCATTGGCCTTCCTAGACAATAAACTCCTAAGAAGATTGTTCATTGCACTTTTCCTAAGAGAGCAGACTGTAAATTAGATAAGCACAGGGCTTTTTTGGTAGAAAAAGCCCAGCAGGAACTCATTAGCATAATAGGCCACACCCAACAGCAGACACTCATTAGCATATTAGGCCACACCCAACAGCTGCGGGGAGCCTGGGCAAGCTGGCCCTTGGACTGGCCAGGGAAGGGACGGGGAGGCATTTAAATGCCTCGCCGATCCTTCCAGCCCCACCCCCGGCCTGCCCACCTTGGAGTCGGGGGGGGGTCGCTCTCCAGGCCTTCCCTCTGTAGCCACCCACGCACAGAGGTTTTGACTGTAGTGGGGGTGGCCAACTCTGACGCCCGCGGGAACTCCGTTCCTGTGCGCTCCTGCCCAAAAATAGCCCTGGATAAGCATATGGAGCAGAAGTCCATCAGTGGATTTTAGCCACAAGGTATAGATAGGAACTCTCAGGCTGGGGCCAGTGATGCTCTGTGTTCTTGGTGCTTGGGAGGGGGGAGGGCTTCTAGTGTCCTGGCTCCACTGGTGGACCTCCTGAGGGCACCTGGTATTTCAGGCCACTGTGTGACAGAGTATTGGAATGGATGGGCCATTGGCCTGATCCAACATTGGATTCTCTTATGTTCTTATGTTAAACTGTCTTGTGATAGGCTTCACAGAGAGTAGTAGCATTGGGAAGATGCTGCGTTTTTGTTAGACAATTCAAATTCATTTGGTGTTTAGGATTTGAAAATACGAATGTGGATGTGTGTATTCGTTATAGTTACCAGAATCCTCCCACCCTCATATTCATATAAATGGTGAAGTTTGCTGTTCAGTTTCCAGTTCAACTCTTAACTCGTGTATTCTCCAGTTTTTATCAGGCCAAAGAAGAATTTAAAAAAGAAATGAAGATTGGAGGGTTTCTGTACAGTGATTTACCTGCCCTAGCTTCTGACGTCCCATATTTTCCACCAGAGGAAGAGGAAGAGAATTTGGAAGAAGGGATTCACCTAGTTATCTGTGTCCATGGGCTGGATGGTAAGGCATGAGCTGATTGGGCTTTCTGAATTTGGAATGTTTGCAAATGGTAGCCAGGAGTTATGCACTTGCAGAAAGGTGTCCAGTTGGATAAGATATGTGGACTTCAGTGCCCTGAGATATTAGTAAGGAGGCTGTGAATACTCAGGATGGTTTCCTCACATAGTAAATGTTGCATATTCCTCAGAGCGTGTCCAGAAGAGGGCAACCAGGATGGTGAGAGGGTTGGAATCTAAGTCTTATGAGGAAAGGCTGAAAGAGTTGGGTCTGTTTCGCCTGGGAAAGAGAAGGCTTAGAGGGGGCATGATTGCAGTCTTCAAATATCTGAAGGGCTGTTATGTAGAAGATGGAACAGATCTATTCTCCCTTGCTCTGGATTGCAAGACTAGATCTCATGGGTATAAATTACAAGGGAGGCGATGCCGGCTAAATATCAGGAGAAACTTCCTAACTGTAAGAGTGGTTGAGCAGTGGAACAGACTGCCTCGGGAGGTGGTGGACGCTCCTTCGCTGGATGTTTTCAAGCGGAGGCTCAACAACCATCTTTCGGGTATGTTGTAGGGCTCTCTTTCAAGCTATGCACCTGCAGAGTGCAGGGGGTTGGACTAGATGACCTGCAAGGTCCCTTCCAACGACAGCATTCTATGATTCTAAGTTGATAAGTACGGTTTCTAACCTCCACGTGGGGCCTGGAGATCTCCCAGACTTCCAACTAATCTCCAGTCCAAAGAGATCAGTTCCACTGGAGAAAGGAGCTGCTTTGAAGGGTGGTGTCGGCCGATGCCCTCATGGGTTGGGCTGTGTTCTCCCCGCTCCCCTGCCTTCTCCCTCAACTGCCCTCCCTCCTCCTGGAACGCTCTCCAGGTTTCTTCCTGCTATCTCTCCTGAGGCCTTGAAGCTCTGCTCGGCCGTGACGCTTTCCCCCACCGAGAGCCCAGGGCCGTTTTCTTTTGAGCGTGCTTGCTTGGTCCTGCTTATGGGTCTGCGTCCATCAGGGGGACCTGTCTGAACTGGGTATAATCAGGGCTTTTTTTGTAGAAAAAGCCCAGCAGGAACTCATTAGCATAACAGGCCACACCCAGCAGCAGAAACTACTTAGCATAGTAGGCCACACCCTGACAGCACAGCACATTAGCATATTAGGCCACACCCCCATGTTACCAGAGGTGTGGTCATCCAGCCACACTCACCTTTTGCTTCTTATTCTGTTTACCTTGTTTGTGGTCAAAACCCAGGGCCTTTTTTTGTAGTAGGAACCCTTTGCATGTTACACCACGCACCCCTAACGTAGCCAATCCTAATGAGTTTCCGCTGTTGGGTGTGGCCTATTATGCTAATGAGTTCCTGCTGGGCGTGGCCAACTCGGGAGCCAGCTGGAACTCCGTTCCTGTGCGGCCAAGTGTGTGGGGGGGGAAACCCCCGCTTTGGAGGCCCGATTTCCGTCGCCACGGAATCAGGCCCCGGGGGGAACCCCGTCCCCTGAAGTGCAGCGTGGGTGCGTCACAGGAAGTGATGCAACCACGTAGAGCACGTTGGGGGCGTGGCCCCAATCGTTGGAGGGAAAACTCTATGGTTTTCCCTCCAACGATTGGGGACACGCCCCCAACGTGCTCTACGTCGTGCGTCTCTTCCTGTGACGCTCTGACGGCGCTCGCGTGCTTCGCGCACGCACGTCCCTTGGCAGCTCCAGGACCGAAGCAACGCTCCCCCGCCGGTGAGTCAGAACGACTTGGCAACCCTATAGTCTGTATTCCCGCCTAACCCCCCATTCCTGACACAAAATGTGTTGCATGATGACCTGAGTGCCTTTCTCAATAAACTGCACCTTTATCAAGGAACGTTGTTGAGCTTGATTGACTTGGGACTCTGATAGGTGGACTCTATGGCACTATACTCTGCTGAGGCCCATCCGCTCTGAAGACACCACTCTCCTAGGCTATACCCCAAATATCCAGGGATTTTGCTCCCCGGAGTTGCAACCCTACTGTCCCCGAGGAGTAAATGGTCTATAATGTGCATGTGTAGTTTGTGAAGGAGAAGTGGATAAATATATTTTCTGGGAGATTTGGTGCCCAAATGTCAGAAGGGGGAATGGGGAATTGGAAATACCATGACATGGTCTTACAAAAATAACACAAATAGTGTCCTCAGTAAAAGAAGCAGGTATGGCAAGTACCCAGAGATGGACAGGTGGATGGATGACAAGCTTCCTCATGGAATCAGTGAGACAGTGATGTGTTATTTTCAAAGGTAACAGTGCAGATCTCCGGCTGGTCAAAACATTCATCGAATTGGGTCTTCCTGGTGGAAAGCTGGACTTCCTGATGTCCGAACGGAACCAGGTATTTTAGTCTTATGCATAGAATCATAGAATCTGGTATTTTTGGCCACTGTGTGACAGAGTGTTGGACTGGATGGGCCTTTGGCCTGATCCAACATTGGCATCTCTTATGTTCTTATGACTGCCTCCATATCTCCAGGAATTTTCTATGCAAGAGTTGGCAGTCCTAAATCTTGGCTTCCCCGGGCCCAGTCACAACTCCAACCACCTCTCTGCTCTGCTTCCGTTTTACTATTCTGTTCGCAGTGAGCCATTTTGAGAGTCAACTCAACCTGGAAAGCAGGATAAAAAATATAATTAATCCAACATTTACAAAAACAGGGCTCAACGACGTACTTTTTGATTAAATGGAATTTTTCATGGCTAAATAACATGCGAGATTTAAGATAGGGAGCTTTGGAGGAACTCATTAATTATCTGTGCCGACAAAACAAACAGACAGAAGCCTATATTTAGTTTACGAGCGAGTTTAGTGGAACACAGTATTTCAAATTCGATTTGCTTAGTGTTTTCCTTTTGAAAGAGCTGCAATTAACAAGATGGATTTTGTCACAAAAAACTCCCATTAATTACTAGATATGTTTTCCTCAAATTTCTTTCCCCGCATTTGATGATTATTTCCCTGGCATCTCATTCGCTTTCAATTTGATTCACAGTCTATTTGATTACCAGAAAAAGAAAAAGAAAAAGAAAGCAGAGTTCCAAATGGGAGGCATTTGGCTCCCGGGTTCCTCTAAATTTGTTTCTTTCCTCCTGTCCTTTCCGTTTATCCCAAATGGCAAATTCATGCCAAGCTAATGAGTTGTGCAAGTGCATTGCTGGCTGGCCCTCGTTAAGTAGTAATTAGAGGTCCAATGCAATATGGAATTTCGTTGTAATGATGCAATTTTGTGGTAGCTTTATTATGGTCAGCATTCAACAGTAATGTATCCTAATTGCAGCTGTCCAATACATGGAAATGGATGGCACGGATTTGCTAAAAAAAATACAACAAAACAGAACTCTGGCTCCTAAACTTCTGGTCCGGCAACTGGTCTTGTAAATTCCAGACTTTGAGAGTGCAGATCAGAGTTCATGAAATGGACAGGTTTGGCTACTGCGTGTTTCACCACACCTTAAAAAGGATATTATAGCTTCTTCTCGTAGCTTTCAGAGATAAGGCAGATGCTATATGGGCATATAGGCTCAGAAGGAGACTATCAGAGTGGTGTGCATCCTACCAGACTGTTCAGCAAAATGTGAAGCAAGTGCCTGTAGCTCAGTGAAAGAGCCTCTGTTTTTCAGTGCAGAAGGTGACAGGTTCAACCCCGGCCATTTCCAGCTAAAAGAATCAGGTTAGAGGTGATATGAAAGACCTTCACATGAGATCCAGGAGGGAAGGAGGAGGAGGAGATTGGATTTATACCCCGCCCTTCACTCGGAGTCCCAGAGTGGCTTACAAACTCTTTTCCCTCCCCACAACAGACACCCAGTGAGGTAGGTGGGGCTGAGAGAGCTCTTTCCAGAGCTGTCCTTGAGAGAACAGCTCCGACAGAACTATGCACCTTAAAAGGATATCATAGCTTTGGGAAAAGTGCAGAAAAGGGCAACTCGAATGATAAAAGGGTTGGAACACTTTCCCTATGAGGAAAGGTTAAAGCGCTTGGGGCTCTTTAGCTTGGAGAAACGACGACTGAGGGGTGACATGATTGAGGTTTATAAGATTATAAGATTATCTTCCTCCTCCTTCTCCTCCTCCTCCTCCTCCTCTTCTTCTTCTTCCAAACGATGCCCTGACTTGGAGAGCCTGATCTCATCAGACCTCAGAAGCTAAGCAGGGTCAGCTCTGGTTAGTAGTGGGATGGGAGACCACCAAGGAAGTCCAGGGTAGCTACACAGAGGCAGGCAATGGCAAACTACTTCTGAATGTCTCTTGCCTCGAATACCCCCACGGCAGGGGTCGTTTCGTAGAAAAAGAGCTAGGGGAACTCATTAGCATAACTCATTAGCATATGCCACACCCCCTGACATCACCAGAAGTGTGTCATAAGGCCACACCCCCTGACATCACCGGAAGTGTGTCATAAGGCCACACCCATCACTCAGTCTTAGTCTTAAAGGTTAGTCTTAAAGGTGCTATTTGTTAGTCTTAAAGGTGCTATTTGAACTCTTGGACTGTTTTGCAGCAACAGACTAACACAGCTACCTTGGGGAAGCTCCTGGATGGGGCTAGGAGTCCTTGCGGAGGCCACGTGGAGTGGCCTCAGCCAGGCAGAGAGGGAGGACACCAACTTACCCTCCTGCTTCTTCCTCCTTCTGCAACAGAATGAGGCTGGAAGAAGGGGGCGGCCGGAAGAAGGGGTGGGGCTTCGTCGTGGGCCCCACCCCCCTGCACTTCACCCGGGGGAACTGTGATCCCCCCACGTTCCCTTCCGAAATGACCTCTGCCCCACGGGGGTCATCATAAGTCAGCTTCTACTTGAGGGCAAAAAACCACCAAAACTATAGACCAGCGTCATTAACGTTGATCTGAAAGAGAAGTAACATTTATGATGCCTTCCTCTTCAGTCTTTAAAAAGATCCAAAAATATATATTGTGGGGCCCCAGTCCTATTACAACCAGGCTCTGTCATTATTGCCTCAATGTGATTCTCTTTTTTTGTCCACAACGATACTGAAAACTGAGACCAACCAACTGATTCCACCCTCTCTTTAACAGACGGACACTTTTGCCGACTTTGATACCATGACCGACCGATTGCTGGATGAGATCATTCAGCACATTCAGCTGTATAATCTGTCCATCTCACGGATAAGGTAAAGAGCAAGAGGGGATAAATGCGATGGGGGGGGGGCTCAGGATCTGGGATAGGGTTGCCAACCCCAGCTTGGGAAATACCTGGAGATTTTGGGGGTGGAGCCTGGGGGGCGGGGCTCGGGAAGGGGAGGGGAGGGACTCCACTGGGGTATAATGCCATAGAGCCCACCTTGCGAAATGTCCGTTTTCTCCAGGTGAACTTATCTCTGTTGCCTGGGTACCAGTTGTAATCCCGAGTGATCTCCAGAGACCACCAGGAGGTTGGCAACCCTAAACTGGGAGGAGACTGGGAATATCAATAATAGAGGGAATGCAAAGGATTACAGCATTCCTTGAATAGCTCTTGTCGACATGTCCTGTTCCTCTTGAATAGTTGCGTCGACATGTCCTGTTCAAAGGCAAAAAAACACACTGATTTCTATTCTACCAGCAGTGGCAAGGATATTGATAGCAGATACCTGGAATGCCTTTTTTTTTTAAAAAAAAGGTAAGGTAAAGGTAAAGGTTCCCTTGCTCGAAAGCCAGTTGAATCCGACTCTAGGGTTGCGGTGCTCATCTCCGTTTCAAAGCCAAAGAGCCAGCGCTGTCCGAAGACTTTTCCGTGGTCATGTGGCCGGCATGACTAAACACCAAGGTGCACGGAACGCTGTTACCTTCCCACCGAAGTGGTACCTATTTATCTACTTGCAATTTCTTGCTTTCGAACTGCTAGGTTGGCAGGAGCTGGAACTAGAGACAGGTACCTACCATGCAAATGTGATGCTCTAGATTGTGGGATCACTTTGTGTTAGGTAAGATCTCGAACGGTACTTTGATGTCTTAGAGAAACACTTAGAAGAATCCATAGCTGTATGGTACCCTGTGACAGAATGAGGAATTTCACATTACCCTTTTTAACCCGTTTTGAAGCCTTTTTTGATCCATCATGAACTGGTATAGGGCTGCCATTTCACACATGGCTTTCCCCTTCCGGCAAAGAGCTGCAGCCATTTCAGACTGCACCACTTTCCCCCCGCCAATTTTCGCCCATGCGGGTGATCTCCGGCTTTTCTTTTTTTTGAACATTCAATTTACAGTGCTATAGCGCTATAGCACTATAACAAAACACTCCAGGCATTCCATAGGGGTTGATATGATGCTTTTCCATTATAGCGTTAGTGCTATAGCGTTATAACGCTATAAAGCAAACGTTCCCAAAATAAGCTGGAGATTGCCCGCACGGGCGAAAAACGGTGGGAAAAAGCATATCGGAACCAGGAGAGGAAACTGGAAACTACTTGGAAGTGGTTGACAGGTAAAACGCTTCAGCCCCATTTCCTAAATGGGACAGAAGCATTTGTGTCTGAAGTTACAAATATATTCCGGTAGGGAACAGGTTCTAAAATGGTTTTGTCTGAAATGACAGACCAGAAACCGTTTGGGAACTGTTCCTCTTCCGGAATATATCGTCGGGGTTGTTGTTTTCTATGGTTCAAAGGGGGGGGGACTGTCAGAGTCCCACAGCAATCAGTCTGAACAACGTTCCTTCAGAAGGATCAAGTTTATTGAGTGCAGTAAAGGCAGGTCATCAGTCTATATGTTCAGCGTTAGATCCAACTCTGCAGGTGGGAAAGGGGAAGATATACAGGATTCAAAGTGGGGACCCCTGATGGACTCGGGCCAATCAGAGGGTGATGCGCAGCACGCCTAAACTAACGGGCTCATATTCCCAGCAAAGCCAGAGGAGCAAGGTATCGTGGTCATGAGCTCAGCGAAAAGATATGACACAGCGAAAGAAGTGAATGGGTGCGTTCAGATGGGCCATTTGAGCTGGTATACATGCTGGTTAGAAACGGACTACTTACGTGCAATCACACGCACAACATCTGCTTCCCGTCCCTAGCTGTTGCCAACCACTGCAAATCCTCTTTAAACTGGAGTAATCTGCTACCAGGTCCCCAAGTGGTGTTTTCCTGATGCTCCGGTTGTAGCCACAATTTCCTGCCGTGTGATCGCACCTCTGCCGGTGTAGAGCCACTTCTGCTGGAAGCCTGAGGCTTCCGCTTTTCGTCCTCCATTTTATTTTTAGCCTTGGCGATATGCACTTTGGCGAAGCTTCGCCCCGACATTAATAAAACGGGGGGGGCAGTGCCTAGTTTAAGGCTTTAGAGGAGTCCAGGACCTCACGGAGGCCAGTTTCGGTGTTCAAGTTTAAAGGGAAGTCTTCACTTCAGGGCATGCTTTTTGGGATATGGTGTTCTGCGCATGCGCGAGGATCTCAGTTATTTTTTTTAAAAAAACCCCACCGCTGCGTGCCTGAAGTTTGTGGACAGTGTGGACACCTAGGAGCGATGTGCTGTGAGGTGAGACAGGTACGTGTGACCGCGCTTGTCCCCGGATCAAATTAGTCCAGTTGGAACCAGAGCAGTTTAAACTGCTCTGCCACACCGCCTGAACGCACCTAAAGTTAACGTTCCAGTGGTTGGAGATGTGCACCCAGCAGTCCCCCACCTCCCCCCACATACAATGGCAGTGGGGGAGGGGGAATCCCCTTTCAAGCGCAATCTCACCCCCCCCCTTGGGATTTCAATGGGTTGCCAATGGGGCTGGAGAAAAATGTCCTACCCCTTTAATAGAGGCTTACTATGTGGAAATGGCCAGCTGAAGATTTCCATGGCGTGGTGGTGAATAACATCAGGAGGTAAACTGCACCCATGAAGGTCGCTTCCAAGGGTAGCTGCGTCACTCCGCAGTAGGAGACCTAGATTCGAGTCCAGTAGAGCACCTTAGAGAACGAGATTTTTGTGGGACCAGCTTTCAAGGCTCCGAGCCCTGCCGAAGGGACCTTTGACACTCTTGAAAGCTCAGACTCCGAAGACCTTGTTGGTCTCTCGGTTGCTCGACTGGACTCGAATCTAGCCTCCAGCAAGTCTCCGTTAAAGGGACAGGGCATTTCTTTCCTCCAAGCCTGTGGCAATCTTATTTCACCGATTCAACTACTTCTTCTTTGAGCGAAGACACAGGCAGCCATCCACTCACAATGCAGAAACTTCCTGGTTTAATCTCTTGGTAAATCTGTTACCATATTTTGAAAAGCAAAAGAAGAGGACGTATTTCCCGACTGATGACTTCAAACTACTGCTCATGATGACAAATCTCCTTTTAAATACCCCTCCTATTTAATAGCTGCGATAACAGCTACTAACTAGGAATATTCCTAACCATCCAACCCAAAAAGAGGACATTTCCATGTGTTTTTTTAAGAGCCCCAAAGAGGACGGACACCAAAAAAAGAGGACACGTCCTCTAAGAAGAGACATCTGGTAACCCTAACTGCAGGGGTCATTTCGTAGAAAAAGAGGTGCAGGAGTTCATTAGCATAACTTATTAGCATAACTCATTTGCATATGCCACACCCCCTGACATCACCGGAAGTGTGTTAGAAGGCAACACCCACTGCTCAGGCTCCACTGGACTGTTTTGGATTGCTAGCTATTGTGGGGGGGGGACGCGCAGATCTGCCCTCACAGAGGAGGGAGAGCTTGTTCCTGAAGGCTGGCCGGAAGGGGGGGTGCTCTACAACTTACCTGGCTGCTTCTTGCTCCTCGTGGCCCAACTGAGGGCTGCTGGGAGCAGGGGGCGGGGCTTGTTGCATGTGCCCGCCCCGTGGGCTCCTTACTGCCGGAGCTCTGCTCCTGTGCGCTCCCGCAGGAAATGACCCCTGCCTAACTGTATAACAACCTGCTGTCAGCCGAACTCCCTCCCTCCCCCAAATTCTGCCCTCCACAGCCATGAATTTCTCAAGCCAGAGCTGGCAAACGTGAAGTCCTGCAGAGTGCATGTCAAAATCTGTGGCAGACTTCGGTTATTATGTTCGGTGAAGTAAAGGGTTTGTTAAATGCAAGTCTCTTTGCGTTCATCTAGCTATAGCCAGACAAGCTATAAAAGTGCCAGTGTGGAGCAGTGGTTAAAATGTCGGGCGAGGAGCTGGGAGACTCAGGTTCAAATGCCCATTGCTGCTGCCATGGAAGGTTCCTGGGTGACCTGGGCCCAGTGGCAGATTCTCGGCCTAGCCTACCTCACAGGAGTGTTGCTTTGCGAGGATAAAAGGGAGGAGAGGAGAAGGATATTGTGTAAGGCACTTTGGGTTCCCATTGGGGAGAAAGGCAGGTTATAAATAAATAAATAAAGGAAGGAAGGAAGGATGGAAATAAATAAATAAATAAAGGAAATAATTAGATAATAATAGTAAGCTTTGGGAATTCCTCACCCAAAGAGTGATTAACACTTGGAATTCACTGCCACAGGAAGTGGTAGCGGCTACAAGTATGGATGGCTTCAAAAGGGAATTAGATAAGCATATGAAG